CAGGACTTTTGTTAAAACTATAGATCAAATGTATGCATTTTTGGGATTGACAGATGATTTTTTTATTCCTTAAACTGCTGTGACCAGATCACTGAGTGAGTTGAATTCAAAAGAATTCTGACTCAAAAGAAGGATTCATTAAATCAGACATCACTTCTCTCAAGTCAAGTTGAATAACTTAGAAGACTTGAAATATAGCACACAAGTCATATTAATCACTTTTATGATACTTTTTTTATGGTGATCTTGCATCTGATTAAAGCTAGAAAGCTCATATTCTCATCCTTCAGAATTTCTCTGTTCGTGTCACACAGGTTTGTAGCAACATGAGGGTGAGTAAATGATGACAGTATTTTCATCTTTTAGTGAACTATCACTTTAATACGCTCACACACAAGTATTCTCGTCTGAAGCCAGTGATATTTGGTGATTAAGAGAAACGCACCAGTGCTCTTGTAAGCTGGTGCAGCCAGAGTACTTGGACAGGATTATATAATGGGACAAGAATTCTCATATCCACTTTAAAAAAAGACATAATTAGCCATCTGCTCTCAGTGGACGCAGCAACACCAAAACGTCAGAGAGTCTAATCAGGAGAGAGACAATGAGCAGACAGACAGCGCGTCTTTGAATAGACCGAGAGAAATTAGGTTTTTGCATTCCTGGGGTTTTGCTCCCCGATAACGGAGAAGCCAGAGCTTATGTTCAATCTCAACGTCTGGAAAAGCTCCATTTTCTCTATTAAGTTCTCAGACTACATTGACTTATTTCTGGAAAGATGGATTGGACAGATTGTGTACATTGTTATTCTTTCTATACTTTCTATGTTCTATCTTTAACAGCTTCATTATGGTGTAACAGCTGATAAAGAACCAAGAACAAAATTGCTCTGCAAAAAAATAAAATAAAAGGAAGTCAGACAAGTCAGACTTGTTCAGACAGCCCACAAAATCTGATTTTTAGCACACCCAAATCAAATCCATTCAGGTCTGAATAGCAAAAACACACAGAAGATCCAATGCTTACAAATCTGATTCAAACTCTATGTGATTTTAACCAAAAGTTTTTCAAACAGGGGGCCGGGACCCACTAGGGGGCCTCAGCAAGCTTCCAGAGGGCCCAGTAAGTGTATTTACATTTATGCAAATATATACATATGTACATGTATTTAGTTATATTAAAACAAACAAATAAATAAGTACAACATTAAACTTTATCAGTGGTACATATCAGATGTGAGGGCATTCGAATATTGTCTTAGACAAAGGGGACATTGGAGTCAAAAGTGTTGATTATTAATTCAGATTTGTTTGGAATGAGTCTGAAAAGTCAGGGGTGCATTTCACAGACAACAATGTTACTCAGTGCCTAAATAGTACGATGAATGGAGAAACTAACTAGTTAGTCATGAGTGTTTCCTGGAAAATGTAGAAACTTCGTCACACATTCATCGTTTGAACTACGTTGTTTAAAACATTATAATGACGTCAAGCAGGTGGTGGAGCATAACATAACTGCTAATTATTCATTTCGAGATCAAATTAATGTAAGATTATTGCTGTAAAAATCAAACACGGCATCTGAGGACTTCTTCGTTATTTTTGTTCTCCATTATTTTGCGGGTTTCCTTACATCACTCCAGGGTTCACCGTGGTACTAGAGCACCTCCACATATGCGCACTCTTAAAAAACGGTGCTATAATTAACAAAGTAAAAGATGTAGAATAAAATTTGTATATGTATTGAATTATAGATATAGATTAAATTACATGTTAGCTTGCTTATTTTGCTTACATGCATGATCTATTTAAATCCATGTCATTCTATGTCGCTTCAAACCACAGGTCAAGAGATACAAAACTTTGAAATGCTGTTTTCGAATGTTTGTTGGAACTATGGATTTGGGAAACGACAAATCGTTGAACAATGTTGGTAGAGAGAATTTGCAAACATAGTTAGCTAACTTTGTTTTTTGTCTTTTTGTTATTGTTTGAAAATTATACAATATTGTCTGAAGAAGTTTCTAAATTCACTTAAAGGGAACCACTGATGTCACATGGACTATTTTAACAATGTTCTTAGTATGTTTCTGGGTCTCAGAACATTTCAGTTACATATGGAGGGTCAGAAAGTTCTCAGATTTCATCAAAAATATCTTAATTTGTGTTCCGAAAATGAACGAAGGTCTTACGGGTTTGGAACGACATTTGGATGGGTAATGGTGGAATTTTCATTTTTGGGTGAACCATCCCTTTAAATTTGCTTATCTAGTGAACTGTGTGACATTCACTATGTAGTGAATAGTGATTGAGTGAACATGTTAATAGTTTTGGACACTGAAACGCTCGTTTATTGGCAATCAGCCAGATATTGACACGTTTTGTCACTTTCAAAATGCCAGTGTAGACTAAAGATCCTAAAAAGTTTTGAGATCAAATAACTCAAACCACTTTGAGAGGCAATCCAAAACCTATTTGTAGTGTAAACGCTAATCTGGCCTAATGCATTTTGGACAACACCGAAGCTCTTCCTATTACCTTGTCAATCAATCATTGCACTAAAGCAAGGTTTTGAACTGGGAGAAAGAAAATAACCATCCACAAAAATTGGATAAGCCTATGCACACGCATGCATGATTCATATACAGTGACATGGATCATGTGAAGCACACACATCTGAAGTTCAATTACAGCTGCTCGACTAAAATAATGGTGAGCATTCAGCTCAAAATGTCACGTTTGTGCAGAGATTAACATTTAAGTTACTAAACTGGCTTTAACTGGTTTAATTTAGTCTAGCTGGCCTCCAAGCCTGGCCAAGTTGGTGTTCAGCTGGTGTAGCCTAAATAAAATGAAAGTACCCAAAACCTCTCTAAAATGAACAAACGACCAGCTAAGACATACAGTAACACACTGACATCTTGTTTTTCTCACCAAACATACTGTTCTAGTCTACATCTTTCAATTATTTTGTCGTGGCGTTATAAACAAAGCCAGTTTGCCCTCTAAAGCCGCAGTGGTCACAGGGTCTGCCTGTGCCCTGCCCTCTGTTCAACCGAGACGCAGTCTTCAGATCAAATTAACTGCCTGAATAACTCGATAACGCAAACTGGGGTGATAAGACTGATAAAGACCTTCTCACTCTTGAGGTCTAATGGTGGAGATAATTAGCTGGCCTTTCATTCCCTTCCTCTCTCTCCTTCACTTTAAGGTCATTTGTTGGGCACCAACACTGGAATGAACTGAAATCACCTTAAACTACATATTGTATTTTTTTTAAATAATGATATTTCACTGACCACTATTTAACAGTGAGCTTTTATATTCAGCAGTGTAGCTCGAAGGAAAAAGAAAAAGCAACGGTAATGTATTCCAGTGGTTAATTTAGGCTGGTTGTTGGTCAGACTTCAGATGTCGGGGCTGTGTAGATTAGTGCTCAACTAATTTGAAATGGTTGAATCTTAAATTATTACATTTATATTATCCAACCTGGAAAATGTGGTTACTTCATCGCTTGTTAGCGGTGGTGACACACAGTGCGCTTGATCGTGAAACATAACTCCAAATTGCCCCTGGGAGACTGTATAGTATGTGTACGAGGACACTTTGTATAAAATCATCAGCTAAATGACTAATTAACAATTAGCACTTCCATTATGCTCAATTATGATGCCTGGAGGAAAGGCAGTAACATTTGTTAATGCAGCAGCGGTTAAAGACTTCGGCTCATAACTGAAAGAGATGATCATAACTTGCACCAGTATCTTCATATTATAAGTCACTTAATTATTAAACAACAAATTACTTATTGGCAATTTGTTACATTGATATGATACACAGTAAAAACTTTGTTCATAGTTTTGTTGTTGGGCCTAGATTATGGAATGGTTTATGGAGTTGCATTAGTATTTCTAGTTTTGAAGCTCAGCTAAAAACCTATTAATTAGGGGTGGTGATTTGTTGTGTGGTGTTTTAATGTGATGTGTTATGTTTGTCCTTTGAATTTTTCATGGTCGTTCAGCATTTTGAACTATAAAGTAGTTGAAAAGTGCTTCATTAATAAAGGAAAAAAAAAACTATTATATAAAAAAGTTAATTGGCTTTATTTGACCTTACCATACACAGCAGAACATATTATATTTTAAAAGATAACACAATGTCAATGTATTGTGAAATACTGTAAAAACATTTAGGCCTAAATTACTACATAACCTACTAACCTGTGCATTTTTATTGAAATCATTTTTTTTTTGTTTTTTTAAGAAAGTAAAATAGGTATCACCTCGTAGAATTCCGAGAACCATATGTGACCCTGGAGCACAAAACCAGTCATAAATCGCTTGGGTATATTTGTAGCAATAGCCAACAATACATTGTATGGGTCAAAATTATTGATTTTTATTTTATGCCATAAATATATCCAATCTTAATTTGTGATTAGTAATATGCATTGCTAAGGACTTCATTTGGACAACTTTAAAGGCGATTTTCTCAATATTTTGATTTTTTTTTTGCACCCTCAGATTCCAGATTTTCAAATAGTATCTCAACCAAATATTGTCTAATCCTAACAAACCATACATCAATGAAAAGTTTATTTATTCAGCTTTCAGATGATGTATAAATCTCAATTAAAACAAAAATGTACCCTTATGACTGGTTTTGTGGTCCAGGGTCACATATTTGTGCTCTGCATGTCTTTATAACTGGACCACCCAATAGCTGGAGTCATTTTGATCATATTTGAATTATGCAGACTTCTATTAATCCACTTGTGCTTTTATCAGTACGCTTTACAATAACAAACACATTTTAATAGCGCAAATCGGTTGGTATTATAGCATTATATCACTTAATGGCAAAAACAGTTCCCAAAAATGCATGAAACATCGTCTGTTTTATACGCTAAAGTTGTGGCAACCATGGCTGTCGGTTTTTAAGCCATAAAATGGACTTGGAAAGTTTTCAGAGCATCTAAAGACAAGAAGCGCATGATCTCACCTTGGAACTTGAAGCCCTCTATCTGGATCCAGAGGCACAGGTCCTCCGTGTCGCAGTCGCACCTCCAGGGGTTCCCGCTGAGCCCCAGCGAGCGCAGCGACGGCAGCGCGATCAGAGAGCTGATGTTGAGCGCCGTCAGGTTGTTGCGGCTCACGTCCAGCACCTGCAGCGCCGCGTTCTCCGCGAACGCGTCCACGTGGACCTCCGACAGCCCCGGGTTATCCGTCATCCTCAGCATCACCAGGCTGGACAGCGGGCCAAACGTCCGGTCCTCGATCTGCGTCAGGCTGTTGAAAGACAGATCCAGGTAGGCGAGCTTGCGCAGGTTGCCAAAAGTAGACTCGGAGATCTCCGTCAACGAGTTGTTGCTGCAGTCCAGGTACACCAGGTCCGACAGGTAGTTGAGCTGCAGCGCCGGCAGGTCGCCGATCCGGTTATTGGAAATGATCAGCTGCCGGGTGGCCAGCGGGAGGTCCACGGGGAAGTAAGAACAGATAGCTTATAAACATTCTATTAACATTACTGGAAGAATCTTTGTTCATAACTTTGACAGAACTCTTGACAGAATATTAGCCTGAGAACATCTTGAGAACGTTCCCTGTTATCTAGGCACACCCTGGTTATTGGTTGACATTGTTAAACATTGAAAGTCCTGCTCGCACTTGTGTAGCCTATATAGTGGCAATGAATGGTCACCTTCTTTAAAGGGTTAGTTCACCCAAAAATTAAAATGCTGTCATTAATTACTCACCCTCATGTCGTTCCAACCCTGTAAGACATGATAAAATTACGGTTGAACCACTGATGTCACATGGACCATTTTAACAATGTCTTTACTACGTTTCTGTGCCTTGGTCGTGGTCTTGCTGTCTATTGAGGGTCAGAGAGCTCTCAGATTTCATCAAAAATATCTTAATTTGTGTTCTGAAGATGAACAAAGTTCTTACAGGTTTGGAACGACATGAGGGTGAGTAATTAATGACAGCCTTTTCATTTTTGGGTGAACTATCCCTTTAAAGAAGGTGACCATTCATTGCCATCCTTTTTTATATGGTTGAAGATCATCGTTCATTTGCATTGTGGACCATGCAGCTCGAGCAGGGCATTTTTATTTCTCTTTGTGTTGTGAAAATAAATGGTCACCATATATCTTTTGAGCAACACCAGGGAGAGTAAATAAGGGCTGAATTTTTATATTACTTTTATATTGTATGAACTTTCCCTTTAAGCAATATCCACTATCCACGAGCAAGAGCGTTGCATTTTGGAATGTCTGACAAATGTCTGCATCAAGTCTATGGCTAAATCCATGCTGATAGTTGAAGAAATAACGCTATTGCGATGCTGATATTGCTTTTATACAACAATTCAATAAACAAGAAGTTCATATTAAGTAACACAGTGTTGCAGTTACAGTTGTCTGTTTGGTTCTGCCCTCGCAAGAAGTTCCAAGCAACCTCGAAAAGAAATCCGCAAGTCTTTTGAATGAATGATTCAGTGACGCACTGTACACTGTAAAAAATGACCATGAATTTAACGGTAAAAGACTGTAAAAATGCTACAGTAAAAACCTGTTAAATGGTTAACGGCAAATTCCCCTACTTTATACGGTTAAAAACTGTATTGGACCTAACATGTATTGGACATTAATTTTATGATACAGTTTTTGGAAGTGAAAAAGACCGTATAATTTACAGTGAATAACCGTAAATTGACATTCCCAGAATTCCCTGCGTTACATTTTTTTGTTGAAATAACTGTTTTTTCTTAGTTTTTTCTTATCAGTTGTGTAGGGTTGTGCGTTACACCTAATGTTGTTAAATGAATGTTTATTGCATTATTTCAGTTTCATGTGTGTTACCATGATGGTGTTTAGTGTTTGTGTTAATGACACTGTGCACCTTCTATATATGTTATTATTTAAAAGCTGCTTGTGATGGGCTTTGGTTCATCATGTGACTTTCTCATCACCACCTGCATTTGGTGGTTATCAGTGTATTACAAAGGTACAAAACAGATTTCAGTACTTCAATAAGGTTGGTATATTAACATTATATCAGTTAATGAAATTACGGTATTTAACTGTAATTTTAAGTTAAAACCGTAAAACCTAAAACGTTGCTACCATATTTTTTATGGTAAAATTCCGGCAACCACAGCTGCAGTTTTTTTACCGTAAATTTTACGGAATTTTTTTTTTTACAGTGTGCCTCGTTAAAAAAATTAAAATAAAAAGTAACCAATACATTACAAACTAAGAAAGAAATGTCAGTTATTTTCACCTCATAAGGAATAACAGTCCATTTTATAATGGCTACTTTTCTTAAATGAGACATCCTTGATGATGTGTGCAGCCCACAGAGGACGCAGCCTTCGAAATGAGACACCAGTAATTGTTTTGAACGAATCGGTTAAATGAATGTTATAATGATTCACTCAGAAAAGACAGCATCTTGTCGCCACGTACCGGCAAAATTACGTAACCTGCAGAAACAATCAGCAATATATAGAAACACATACATGTAGTATATAGGATAGCAACTAGTCTGAACAGACAAAACAAGTCAAAGAACCAGAAAAAGAGAGTCCAACATGTTTTGAACACAAGCACTCAAAGATCAGTTTGTGTGTGTCTATCTAGGTCCTCCTCAGTACCTCAGGCATGTGTGTACAGTGATGTCACAAGACTCCATCCCTGACAGAAACAGAGGAGGGACAGAGTGTACAGCCACTGACTTTGACCGTCTTGTTTCTCTCTGTCTGTGAGGCGAGACAGATGGAGAGAGAGACTGTTGCATTCGAGCTGACGCAGGTGCAAGAGAAACATGATATGCGCGTCTACAGCACGGAGCCTGTTCTATTATTGTTGTGGGGGAATCTTTGTGTCCTCCTGTATCAACAAACAGGGCCAATCATTACCAAGTGAAACTATTCTTCATTTGAAGATCTCAGTCTGTTCCTCCTGGGGCTTTGCACCAACATTGTGAAAATCATGATTCATTTGATTGTGTAACTTTTATTGTGGTGGAGTAACACTTGCCTTTAGCTGTTCAGGCCTCCCACAGGTAAATCGACTCACCAAGTAGAGCTGTTGTTGTGTATGACTGGGGCACGTTACTCCATGCTGGTTGTGTGGGACTGGAAAAAGTAATAACAAAGGATGTGTACAGTGTGATATGTTTCCAAAACTCTGCTCAAGGGTTTAAACTGAATCCAATTTGTTCCACAATCCACAACAATAAACAAACATGCGCTGATACTTTAATATGGGTGGATTGTATTTTAGTTCGAGGAATACTCAGATTAATGGGAAAAAGTCATGCGATTTTAAGGTCTATTTGATTTTAACACCTGGCAAGTCATAAATCAGATTTAATATTATTCAGACTCATTTTTATATTTTTTAGTTGGTACTTTATTTTTCATAACTGTGTTTTATATCTGGCAGTGTTATATACCACAATTTGACCGTATTACACGCAGTTGCAATTTCGATTAACTTGATTTTAAGTAGCCTTAATGCAACTTTATTTCTTTCAATTGCGATACCGAGTTTTTTACAGTGTCACTATATCACCATTAAGAATTTATTTACAATTGCACTTTCATATCTTACAATTAACTTCATTTTAAGTATATACGACTTTATTTGTCATAATAGTTTTTTTATATATCTTAAAATTTCAACTATTTTTCTCACAATTGCAAATTTAATTTCTTTGTCACAATTGTGGCTATTTCTCGCAGTGTGACTATATATTTCACAATTTTAGACTTTATTTCTCACAATTGCAACTTTATATCTCACAAATGCAATTTTACATCTTACAATTGTGACTTCATTTCATCATAATTGTGACAATTTGTTATATTTTAACTATACCTCAGGGTTACAATACATAATAATTTAGACTTAATATCTCACAATTACAATTTGATTTGATTTCAAGTAAATGTGACTTGTATTTGTTGGAACTGTGATTTTATATCTCACAATGTGACTATATATCGCATTTGCGACTATTTTAATTGCAACTATTTATCGGAATTGTGACTTACTATCTCACAGTTTGACTTTTATTTGTCATATTTGCAATGTCAAATCTCACAGTGTGCATTTCTATTCTAACAATTGCTACTTTAATTCTCATTATTGTGATTTTCTGTCTCACAATTGACTTTATTTCTTATTTTAACTCTCGCAATTATCTGTTATATTTTTTACTCTGACTGATTACACCAGATTTGTTAATCTGCTCTTTGTTCTTTAAATAAAATGCCCCACATTTTTCAATAGATACATATATCTATGATCTTAAAAGCCGACAGTGATCGAAAGTTTCTCTCTTGCCCACACCTGAGACACTATCATCTGCAAACGGACTTTCTGGAGCCTGTCCAGGAATGAGGAAGCCTTAAGTAAGTCAGACAGGTGTGAGGGGATAAAGACCTGGGTGACTTCAGTATATAGGGCGGTTGTCTGTGGCTTGATGCTGCCCTGAAAGGTAAGCTGGCGTTCTGGGGTAAGCGCCAAAGTAAACCGAACGATTGAGCTCATTAGTGTAACTTTCATTCCTGGATCGTCTCCAGCGTGTCAGTTTGCAGACGACGGAGTGTCAGGTGAAGTTGAGGAGGGAGACTTTGTTACTATTTAATGGGTGGGTCATCTGTCAGAGGCTCTGATGCATGACACAGTCCATGGAGAAACTAGGAGATTGAGAACAACATGCCATCAGAAAACATGAACGCCGTATATTGTGTTTGAGCGATAACTTTACACACACATTCACAACACTCTTTGCTTCATTTTTAACTCTTTGTGGAATTCATGGTTAAGTTTGTGACATTGTTGAGATCTCTAGAGGAGACATGTGAGATTTCTTAAGGGAATAATCTGAGAAGCAAGAGACTAAGCAAAAGTTTCCACGCGCTCTGTTTAATCTAATTGCTGTCTAGAAGAAGCAGTTGAGATATTAAAGATATCTTAAGGGATTTAAAAATGCTGATATAGTTTGATTTTCTGTGTCACCCGAGAAAGATAAAATTGAACAATTTCTGTCTTTGTGCTCTTTTCTGCATTTGGATTTTAGCAAAGTCAGCAAAGCATGCTGTGTAGTTTGTGTTGGTGCATTTGCACAGCAGATCCTCAGAATAATTACACACAGAGGCACTCAAACACATGCATCTGTGCTGTGCATACTGTACATGAGCATAAAATGGCCTTTCAATTAGAAAGACACAGCCATATGCAAGTTTTTACAAATCCAGGTCTCTCATTCAGACACTAAACTGCAAAATCAGTGCAAAGAATCTATTAAAAACATTTATGTTATTTATGTGTTAAATCCATTTCCCTCCAAACAGAAAGGAAGTACCCAAGTCATGTCATTGTTTTATTGCCATTTTTAAGATTTGATTTCCATTTCTTCTCTTTACACTCTCAAAATGTGCCAAAATTGTACCTTTAGGAGTACAACAACTTGTCACTGGGACAGTACCTTTTTTTTAAAGAGACACTTTGTACCTTCTTTAACCCAAAGGGTTCATAATAGTACCATACGAGTACATATTGCTAACTTAAAGGTACATATTATTCCATTACTAATATGCACCCTTCAGGGGTATAGAATGTAC